TAGTTTTTAGAGGTGAAAATCCAATGTTGCAGCAGATGAGGTGGTGTTAGATGAAAGAGGACTCATTATTGGGGATGCTAATAATAACATTCTTGCCATCAGAGGAAACTGGAGTTTTCCCTTTGTAAAATAGGGTATAGAGAAGTTTATAAGAACTATTACCTTGAATTATGAATTGTGAGTTAAGCAGCCTATAATTTTAAAAATTGGTACACTATAATTATACATAATAGCAGTGTTCATTATGATACACTCATGCATGTACATAACATAATTTGATCAATTTCATTCCCCGGTATCTACCCTCCTTCCTCTCCCTGATCCCTTTTCTCAATTCTACTAGTTTCCTTTCTACCTACATGAGGCCCCTCTTAAAAATGTTTGTCTCTCCAGCCACATATGAGAGAGAACACATGACCCCTGACTTTTTGAGTCTGGTTTAATTTGCTCAACATGATGGTCTGTAGTTCCATTCATTTTCCTGCACCCTACAATTTTATTTGCAACATTTATTTATGTTTACCAGCAGAAGATAACATTTTTTATAGCTTATAATGAAGAAAAGTATCATGTTAAAGTTTACATTGACATGACAGGAAGTGACTCTAAATTTGGCAGAAAGAACACTGGGATGCACAGACTTTGTGTGGGGTGAACTTTTTTAAGGAGAATTAACAGGATGAAGGCAACTTCACAGATCAAGATCAGGAGATATTTCAGCCACAATGCCACACCTCTTCTCCATATAGCTGACACCACCCCTGGATTCCACTGCCGCCATGCAAATGGTTTCCAGTGGTTCCACATGTTTGCATTGTTGCAGATATAATTCTCAGGTAGGAGCATGCAATGGATTGAACTTAAGTCAAAGTACTTGTACAATGATATGAGTGTGCCCCCCAAAGGTTTGTGTGTTGGAAGCTTGGTCCCCAGTGTGGCAATGGTGGGAAGTGGTGGAACCTTAAGAGGTGGGGCATAGTGGAAGGTAATTAGCTCATGTTGGGCACCATCTTTGGTAGGGATTAGTGCTCATGTTTTGGAGTATTTCATGAGGGAAGATTGTTATAAAGCAAGGGTTCTGCACAGGCTTAGCTTTTTTGCATGCAACTACTTCCTTGTCAGCTTTCTCATAGTGCTGTGATGCAGCCAAGGAGACCCTCACCAGAGGCAAAAAAGAGAGGGCCAGTAAATATCAAGACTTTCAGCCTCTAAAACCATAAACTTTTTATTATGAAGTTGTTAGCTTCAATTAATTGTTATAACAACACAAAATGGAGTAAGAGAGCCTGTTTCCTGGCTGCTAGGGAATATGGGTCTTCTTTCCCATGTGGTTTCCATGGCTGGAAGTTGGACACTGCATCCCACCAGCATGACATTGAATGGAGAATTATTCCCCCCCAAATACATACGCATATAATTGTGTTTCACATGCATAAGGAGAAAAAAGATTTTTAACTCTGGTTATTTACATAATACCAAATATGACATTTGGAAGCAGTGTGCTTGCTATTTTTCATTGCATATGATTAAATTGATGTCAAGGATTCAAATAATATTCCTCTAACTTATTTCATATATTCAATTTGTTTTCACATATTTTTAGATACTTTAAAAAATTTCTGGCAGATGCATTGCATATTGATGGAATCAAATACTAAGCTGGTTGGCAAAGTAAAAATGTAATCTTCAGAGGCACATCACCAGGCTCATAAAAGTATAGAGACAAATTCATGTGGGTCAAAAAAATAGGTACTAGTAGAGAAGTTTAACAATGCTTACCAAGTTTAGAAATATATATACCCTTAGACTTCATAATTGCACACTAAGAATTTATACATATTCCTGAAGTTTTATGTACTGAGTTATTCATTACAACTTTCTTTGATAATAGCAAAGGACTGGGATTAACTTAGAAATTAATCAAAGAAGGACTAATCAACTGTATGTTTGTATAAAACATGCTATGAAGGTATATAAACAATGAATACATCTTCATGTGTGAATATTAAACTATTTCTGAAATGTATTGGTGAATGATAAAAACTTTTTTATACTATGTTTCAGTCTGTGCTGGTTAGCCTATAGACTAGTTGCACAGATATCATGTGGTACTCTTCTTCATTACTCTTCTGCGTTTATTCTTTCCCAGATCCTGAATCTTACTCATTCTCTAGTTGTTTCCCAAGAAATGGTATATATCAGAGTTGGGGGTTAGAGGTAGAAGAGATTTTGGTTAAAGGCTACATAGTTACAGTTAGGAGAAATAAATCCAAGTAATCTATTGTACAGCATGGTAACTATAGTTAAGCAACTACAGTTAATTCTACTCTTGAAAAATGCAATAAGAATGGATGTTAATTTTCCTAGCACAAAATGACACCATTTGAGGTAATGAATCTGTTAATTAGCCAGGTTAAAGGAGTTCATAATGTATATACACTTCAAAACATTATGTTGTACATAATAAATACATGCAATTTTAGATATCAATTATAAATAAATAAATTTGGAAAAAGTAATTGACAAACAGTGCATATATGTTACTATTTGAATAAATTTGGTAGGATAATGCACAATGATTTTATTACAAATGAGTAAAATGTACTGATTGTAATTGATCACATTTGTTGTCTCCAGGGAGAAAGAGATGATAAGGGACAAGGGTAGAAGGGAAACTTTCACCTTCATATCTTTTTAAAATTTTTTGACTTTTTAACCATGTGAATGCATTATGGACAAATGATTTTGAAATCTTCAATACTAAGATATGTCTGGAAAGGTGTTATGGGCCAGGCTATATGGGCAATGACCAAACAGACTCCATTTTACCCTGAGACTCCATATCATGTAAGAAATATTTCTCCCGTGGGAAAGCCCCACCTCTGTACCCATTCACAGTTACCTAGCATAACATACTTGGCAACACAAAATAGCAATACTTATACAATATAGAACTGTTCTCTTTGCTTTCCATTTTTCTTGGGCAATGTACCCAAGATTAATTGTGAGAGATTAATTGTGTAGACATTAGTAACCATTCTCTAACCAGTACTCAACTAAGGTCATTTTGACCCACTTCTCTTCTGCTTGCTTGCTGCTTGCCAACCTGGAAAGTCCTGTGGGAAATACCAATGTACCCATTGCATTGTCTCATTAACTGCCCAATTCAGCTTGTGTACTTGCTTGCTTTCATTGGCTAAGCCCCCAAATGTCCCTTTTGTGGCTTTTTGAGGTCAACTGAAGGTGGGCGCACCACTCTATTTCGTTCTTTAGAGAGCAGAGTGTCTGCTGCTGGCCAGCAATAAATGCTTAATTGGAATGGCAATGTGGGTCTGAGAGTTATTTGAGGGTCTTGGTATTGGTATAACAAGGCAGGTAGGGGACAGGTGCCTGCTATCTAAGATACGGTCAATATGAGTGAGGTTCACGACTGAGGAGGGCAGAACATGTCAGAGGCTATTTTTCAAGTGGTGTTTTAGTCATCTTTTTCACTTCTGTGACAAAAGGACCTAACCAGAACAGGAAAAGTTTATTTGAGGGCTTAAGACTTCAGAAGTCTTAGTTCATAGAAGTCAGGCTCCATTCCTCAGGGCTGAAGGTGAGGCTGAATATCATGGTGGGAGAGGATGGCAAAGTGAAGCAGCTCACAGCACAGTGATCAGAAGGCAGAGAGACTCCACTTGCCAGATACAAATATATACCCAGAAGCCACACCTCAGTTCCCACCTCCTCCAACCACACCCTACCAATTTAGTTAATCCCATCAGGGATTAACTCTCTGATTAGGTTTAGGCTATAACCCAATCATTTCTCCTCCAAACCTTCTTGCATTGTTTGACAGGGGAACTTTCGGGGGACACCGTACATCCAAACTATAACAGGAAGTATTCTAATACTTTATATAGAAGAAATCATTCAAACCTCATAGCAGCTTCTATTCTCATTTTACAGATTAGGATACCAAGGGTAAAGAAGTTATGTAACTAGCCTAACATCTCAAAAATTGGAAGTGGAGAAACCCTGTGGATTTAAATTCAGACAGTCTGACTTGAGAGTTCGCTCTTTTTAAAACCAGCAGAGCATTTTTTCCTGTGGAGCTCTGTATTGAATACAAGGAGAATGGCCATGGGGGCTACCCTCTACTCTACCCGTGGCATCAAGAATTCCTGGTGGGGAATTTCAAATTGAGTACACCTTTTGAGTTTCAAAGATCTAATGTTAGGCCTATTATGTAGGGTCTATACACAGGCTCAGTAAATCTACCCTCAAGGGTTTCATCCAACTTGGGAGGAAATCATAAAGGAGAGCATAATTCTCTGTACTTCTAATTAACTTTCTAGAACTATGGGTCATGAGATAGATTCCCATGTGAGTGAGGTCATGTTTTGGAGGCTCATGTGAAGTTATTGTTTTGCTTCTTGTAAGTGAAAAGAACCTTATGAAAACATTTTCAAATATAAATCCTGGCATGTTAGAGTTCCTCAGCTAGCATGTGAGAGACTGATCTAAGCTCATTGCTATTACTGCTCTCATTATGAGACACTTTTTCCCCTCAGGATAGGGAAGAGGAAGGCCCTTGAGGTCCAGCATCAGTGAAACCTCCAGGGGAACTAAGTAAGCACTGAACCATCGTTGTGTTGAAACATTCCCTTCAAACCAAAACTATATAATTCATGGATCTGGAAAAGTCCACACTTTAGTTGTTCTTTTTAGCCTTAATGAATTGAAGTGAACAGTGGGAGGAAATGCTGGCCAGAGACACTGGGAGGTCAGTTAACATTTTTCCTTGACAGAAAAAGTAGATGGGGAATGGGGTAACTGGGGATTTCTAAAGGATCATAAGAGGAAGTTTTGGTCTTTGGAGGCCTTACTGTGTGTCTTCAGAAAACTCTAAGCTTGGAAACCAGCAGCTCCTGCTCTCTTTCTGGTATTAAACAGTAAGGGTTCATTGTTAACATTTCTTTCTATTCTTTTTTTTTCTATAGATCCCACACTTGAAGTCAGAAGCTATGGAAAATGACTCCTCTGTGACAGAGTTCATCCTTATGGGACTAACTGACCAACCTGAGCTGCAGCTGCCCCTGTTTTTCCTGTTCTTGGTGAACTATGCTGTCACTGTGGTGGGAAACTTAAGCTTAATGAATTTAATTTTCCTGAATTCACACCTTCACACCCCCATGTACTTTTTCCTCTTCAATTTGTCCTTCATTGACTTCTGTTATTCATTTGTCTTCACCCCCAAAATGTTGATGAGCTTTGTTTCAGAGAGGAACATCATCTCCTTTGCAGGATGCATGACTCAGTTATTTTTCTACTGCTTTTTTGTGAACTCCGAGTGCTATGTGCTGACAGCCATGGCCTATGATCGCTATGTGGCCATCTGTCAGCCTCTGCTGTACAGGGTGGTCATGTCCCCTAGGGTCTGTTCTCTGCTGATGTTGGGTTCTTACTTGATGGGGTTTGCTGGTGCCATGGTGCACACAGGGTGTATGATCAGGCTCAGCTTTTGTGATTCTAACCTTATTAACCATTATATGTGTGACATTGTCCCACTGCTCCAGCTCTCCTGCAGCAGCACATATGCCAATGAACTTGCAAAATCTGTTGTCGTGGGGACAGTTATCATTGTATCTAGCCTCATTATCTTCATTTCCTATGCTTTGATTCTTTACAATATCATTCATATATCTTCAGCTAAGGGTTGGTCCAAAGCCATGAGCACCTGTGGTTCTCACATAGTAGCTGTTGGCCTGTTCTATGGATCTGGGCTGCTCACTCATGTCAAGCCATCATCTTCTGGGTCTGTGGACCAGGGGAAATATTTCTCACTTATTTACACTTTTGTGGTGCCAGCGCTGAACCCTCTCATTTACAGCCTCAGGAACAAGGATGTCAAAGTTGCTCTGAAGAGAACCCTAAAGAGAGTCACAAACTGAGCAGAACCAGTGGGGATGCCTTAGTTTCTATTCCCTTTATTGAATTTTGTTGCTTCTTGCTCCTTCTACTTACTTTCCTTCTCTTCTTTCTTCTGTTCATTTTTCCTTAAAGACCGGGTAGTATTCTGATGTAACAACTTTCCCTCTCTCATCATACGACATAACCATGTGGGCTTAGTGGCTTTGCGAGTCCCGTCCAAGGAGGCTTCAACCTGATCTTTATTTCCCATATAAAATGAGCCACTGGGATGATATTTTTTCTATCTAAAGATAACATGACCTCCTGTTTTCATTCTTGTATATCTTCTCTATCCAGGGAAGCCCAAGGAGTTATGTTTTTTCTGACAAGTTCATTTATTTCTTGATCTTCAGGGACAATTGTACAAAATTTTTCCAGTTTTTGGTGTTTTATTACCTATAACTGGATGAAAACAGAGGTCAAGGCAAAAATTGTGGACAAAGTCAATGTACATTTTTTCAGGTTTCTTCAACATCACTTTAGTGATATGTCTCTTCTGGGAATTTATTCTTATATCTGTGATGATACTGTGTGATTTATTAGACTATATTTCTATTCCTATGGATATGTGAGGATGGATGAGACCCACCACTCTGCCCACCTTTGTCAAAACTCACCCATAGTGACACAGCATTGGTTGATTGCTAGACTGTAATAAATAGAACTGAAATTGTCACCTATTTGTCCATGTATTTGTGGATTGTGTCTTTGGCTTTGCTTCAAATTTGCACAATGATATTCCTGACTTAGGCCTTATTGTCATGTGTAAGGTCAATGTCCTTTGTCTTCCTAGCTGCATACTGAGTATTCCTTTTTACAAAGGAAAGTGTACTTTTACCTTTAAAAACACAAAACAAAAATGTATGGGATAAATTGTCGCGACCCCCCTTGCCCGCAAGGAAGACGCGACTCAGGAATCTTCTTTCAGCAGTTTATTCAGGCCCTTGATATTCTTCTAATAATTCTTCTACTACTACTTCTACTTCTACTTCGGATGCCCCTCCCAGCCTTAATAAAGCACCACGAACCCCAATGCAAAGCTGCCACGTGTACCCTTCTCACAGGGTGCTAGAAAATGACACGCCAACTTTCTCTGATAAGGAGCTGGGAACACGCCAACTCTCTTTGATATGGAGTTGTCCTTCACAGACCACAACGGAGCCAGCGCCATCATGTAATGGCGACCACAGTCCGCAGGAACGGCTCACCACAATAAATATTACCCAACTGCAATTTATTTTTTCAATTTGATTTATTATTTTGTTAGAAGTCTGTGGCCCTTATTATCTGCTGCATTCTTTTCAAATAACTTTTAAATGTATATATTGTTTTCCTGTTCCCTGTATCAGGAAATGATTCTGTGATTTGCTTATGGCTGTACACCTAATGATCCAGATCCTCTTGTGCATTTAACCATTTTTGGTGTGGGGGGGCTTTTGAGCATCCTAGGAAGAAAAAGGAAGGAAGGAAGGAAGGAAGGGAAGGAAGATTAAAGAACAGAGAGAACTTCTGGAAAGTTGTTTCAGCTTGAGCCTGAAAATTGGGTTTTTATTAGATAATGTCCTGAGTAAGATTCCCATAGCAGGGATGATCTATGAGGCTTTGATGGCTAATGGGAAACATGCCATGCACCTGCAATATTCTGATTTATGGTGGTATAAACCGGACAACCTACAAGGAAATCTTTAATCTCAATCTTTTTCTAAGAGTGAATATTTTTCTGAAAATATGAGGCTGAGTTCACGCCAAGGATCTCTGGTGAGACATGTCATTGTTTCCATAGCAGCATAATCCTATCAGACATTATGCTATTGTTTAGAGTAAATGAAAAAGTTATGCATAGTAAAAAGAATAGAAAATTGTGCTCTTATTAATTTTCTTGTTGTGTGTGTTACAGAGAAGATAAATTATTTATTTTCCATAGTGGATGAATCCTTGTCAGAAGACAACAGTTCATTATCCCTGAGATTATTATATTTGTTATTTTTCTATGGTTCTACAATATTGGTTCATAAGAAAAACCTTAGAAGATAATGATGCCAACTAAGTACTTTAATTCAATCTTTACTGCAATATTTTTGTCACTATTATAATGTTTTGAAATGCTATTCCTCTAGGAGTGGCTCAATGACCAGTGTCTAGTTTCATTCTTCCATCTATATTTAGCACAGTGCCTGGTTTAAAAAAAGAGCTTACCACTGGTTTGAATTTCACTCTAAAAATATATATTTTAATAAAGACATAGAATGCTTTCACTAGGACACAGAATGAGCTGTATTACATCCACGTTTATAAAATACTGCATAATTAACAAAAAGGTGAAAAGTGAGTCTCAGACATAGCACATTATCTGTGGTCTGAGAATGATATTGGAGTCAGTGGTACAGCCTGGTGGAGAACCAATCAGAGGTAGCCTGGCTCTGTACTGTGATGTCAATGGCTCAAATTTTCAGGTTAAATCTATAGTATTGACCTGGCAAATGCAGTTGATTTATTTTTTCAGTAAAAACCAAATTTAGCCAGCTGTGGTGGCACATGCCTTTAGTCCCAGCAGCTCTGGAGGCTGAGGCAAGAGGATTGCAAGTTCAAAACCAGCCTCAGCAAAAGCGAGACCCTAAGCAACTGAGACCGTCTCTAAATTAAAAAAAAAAAAAAAAATAAGGATGAAATAGGGCTGAGGATGTGTCACAGTGGTTGAGTGCCCATGAATTCAATCCCTGGTACCCCCCCATACCAAAACAAAAACAAAAATAAAAATAAAAACAGCCCCCCCCAATTTAGCAATATTTATACCTAAATTACTTAAATTCAAGGTAAGTTTTATGAATTAATATAATATGTAAATTTAACATAGACTAATTTTAGAACATGTATGTTTATTTGATAATTATTAAATATTTACATGTTTTGTATGTGTTGTCGATTAAACATATTTATATTGCCATGTACTACTTTCTTCTCCTACTGTTTTTTCATATTGGCAATTTCAAATGTAAAATCTTCGTTCCACTGATATTGAACGCTGTATTAACACAGGTTAAAGACATGTGAATATTGGTTTATTAATGAAAGGTTTTTAGGTACTTCTACACAGTCCTCAATCTTTGTCCCTCATGAATACAGTCCAGAAAAGAGCTATGTAACTATATAGCATGGCCGACAGGATGGCAAGTGGGGCACAGGAAAGCATCATGTGTGCCCAGAATCCTCAGCTTGGACCTTGTACATTTGAGGTTTCTCTTTGGGTGTCCTGAGAGGTCAAGAATAAGGATATCTGATATGACAGTGTACCATGTGTTTGGCAGGAGTAAGAGGATGAGATGAAGTGAATTCCCTGCTCCATTATAATAGCAGGAAGAGTTGTCCCGCCACCTGGATGTCAGGTAGAGCAGTCACAGGAGAAGGAACGGAGCCCACTGTGGGCAAAAGAACTCTGGACTGTTGGTGAAGATTATGTTTCATGTGCCCAAGGAGCACAGGTCTTTGACACCCACCTGTAATCCTAGGCACTTGGGAGGTAGAGGCAGGAGGAAATTCAAGGCCAGCTTCAGCCATTTTCCAAAACCCTGTTTCAAAATACAAGAGTTGAATGTGCTGGGGATATAGTTGAATGGTAGAACATTCCTGGATTCAATCACCAGTACCCCAGTAATAAGAAGTAGGTAAGTAATTAAATAAATAATAAACAATAAAATAAATGTTAATTACCTTCAGTAAAAATAAATAAAAACTATATAATTTTCTGTAAACTAACCTAGAGTTAAAAATGAGCTTTTATAGTCTTTCTTATAGAACGACTCAAATAATTCCATGTATGGCTTTGTATTTTCTGTAAAACCTGCTTGAATTTTAGTATTCTAATCAGAGAGGTGCTTCATTGCCTTTAAAAAATGTCCCTCAAAGCTTTGCTGTGGATCTTGTGCCATGCCTGATGTTAAAAGTCTAGCAATGCTTAAATTCTATAGGAACTTAAAACAACTTTAAAAATGCATTAATAAATGAAATCCAATGGACAATGATTGATGAGTTCTTAGCAAAATTTACAAAGAATGGACTCAAATAATAAAGATTTCATGTTTCATAAAGACGAGTTCCTATGTTTTCTGCTGATTTTTCTTTTCTTTCTTTCTTTTTTATTGCTTAAAACAAAATTAAGTCCTAGAAGAAATCAGGTTTATTCAAGCTTTTATTTGTTAAAAAGACTATCTTGGTTTTCAATTCTGGTTACATGAACTACCAGTTTTACAATGAAGTGTTATGTGTTATTGATACAAAACCTATAAAACTTACAAAATCTGATAGTCTGGATATAATGCTATAAATCTTGATTGTTATCTTAATAACTAAATTTTGCTTGTTAAGTCACAAAGTTATGAAAGTATTAATCAACCTTATGTATGGTTTGTAGCCATTTTAAGTAGTGTGAACAAGGATAAAGGCAAATCTGCTTTATTCAACCTCCGTTTCAAGACAAATTTAAGGTTTAGAGATGTTGATATAGGATATGTATAAGATTGTCAGTTTTTGAAGGTTTTTATTTTTATTTTTATTTTGATGAAAACTGCTTATTAATATAATAATATATAATATATCACATATAATAATATAATAATTTATCTTGTTTACAAAGTACATTTAATTATGTATGGATGTTCATAATTGGAAGAATGACATTAATTCTTGTATACTATATTCCAAGTTTTTATACTCTAAAGATGTTAGGACATATGGGTTAAACAGTCTACCCACATGGGGATTAACTGTGATTTACATAAGCAGGACACCAGCTGTTAGACCCTCTTTAGGCAGATCTGACAGGACTGCTTTTTACAAAGCTGGGCTTGTTGGTTGGATAAAGAAGATAGAACTAAAGAGACTGTGCTTAGTAGTTCACATGTATTATGCAGACTGGATGGCTTTGCTTTTATTAATGTTTTTTAGTGCTTTTATTAATGTTTTTTAGTTTTCTGGCCTAAGAGATGATTTTTCAAAAAACTTCCATTGCTTAATATTGTCTAAAAAGGGGTCTTGAGATATTAATCCATAAACTGACAGTTTCCCTCTTACATGGGACCACTAAGGTCAAAGTACAGGACAAAGGTCCTACATCATGAGACAAGAGATGCTTGTCAAATAATCAGACACGTACTTAATGAAATCATTCAGAGATCATGGCATCATTTGTCGAACTCCAACAAAAATAAAAATTTTCTCTAGTTTATAAATCTTTTCATTTTTTCATGTATTTTAACTTTTTGCTGTTTTTCTTTGCAATATCTACATAACCATTTTTCTTTTAAATAACCTGTGTTGGAAATACATAGCATGCTGTTTGTTGTTACTGTTTTATTTTTTGAATGGACCATTTCTGTACAGGCAACGCACAATGTATGATTGTGATAGACTATTTTCACGCTGTACATAGTATAA